GAATTGTCAGAAAGCAATATAACTGCCGTGGCATTTTATTTTTCATACTTGTTATTTGTAAAAAATTAATTAACTACCTTATAAACACCTACTAAATTACCTTATGCAAAATAACGATGTATCACCATTTGATCGTAATATTATATTAATATCACTTTTACAAAACGTTCCAAGTATATTTCACCATCCCTGCTGATCACAACAATATACACCTCGCGAATGAAAATAAAACGTGTTTGTATGCGATAGCTCGAAGCTGTTATATCCTGATACACGTATTTACGAACCGGTCCGACTGCTATGATCATACGTTGGAATTGTCGTAATAACTCTAAAACGAATAGCTTGCTATTTAACAATTTTACCACCGGTTGATTTATAAAACTTGTCGGAGGCATAATTTTCTCTTCCCACAATTATGACGTTACATGTTTCGATCGCTAACCACGCTCAGCTCATTAATAAACATTTCTAATTTCTTTACAATCGTCTCTCACCTTTGTCTATTTTTCTTAGTTTTCTTCTTTATTTTTTGCTATTTTTGATAAAATATAATGAAGTATTTGTAAATATTATGAAATATTTAGTCCACAGTTTTGATATATGGACAAATTTTAATTTCAAACATCCAAGCTTAAAAATTTTATTCAAATTAATTTTAAATCATCTTCTAATTTTTCATATGTTATAATTACCGTATTTTCCATAGTTACAGAAGTAGATGGCAGATATTACTGCACGCGTTTGAAGCAAGCTAAATCCATTAGTAACTTTGATCTGAAATAAGTACAGAATAAATGGACTGCAACGGATTAATCACGCAGTACAGGAAATTGAATGAAACATATACTTACAGTTAAATTGAATGTCTATCTCTAAAAAAACTAGCTAAGTACATTTATGAATAAAGAGACTGATCGTGGCTGTAATGGGCAAGCTGCGAGCAATCTATTAGGCGTAATAAGTAGCGAAATGAATACGCTACTCAAAGTGTCATCATCATTTCAGCCGTTTATGTCGAAAGTGAGGCAAATCCGTTTCTTGTTATCGCGAGATATTTAAGGATTTATATTTCAATAAAATTAAAAATTTGTGATACTGGATAATATATGTTTATTATCCAATAATGTTTAAAGTACTGGCTACAAAGAAATTAAAGTTTCATTCCTGTATTGGGATTATCTTATAGGCACATTACTGTTTGTTTCCGTCGCTGGCTACTTTTCTATGTTCGGCAAACTTCGGTCAATATCGGAACTATACAAATAAACGGAAGTGCGAACTCGAGGCATTCGCTTATTTAGGGAGTTTATTGTAAGTTCAAACACTTTTCTTAACCATCTTCAGACACTTCAGCCATAGAAATTTACTGTTTTGACTATTTTGACTATCAAGCATAATTTACAATAATTTACTGGTTTAATTGATAATAAATTTCAAACGCGGAGGAGGCGAGTGAAAAACAAGCGCTGTGATTGAGGTAATCGACGAAGATCAAACCTGTTATATTGTTGACAATATTAATGCGTTCCAATTTTTCAATTACCATTCCTTTATTTCATACAACTTTTTCCATCATATTCGTGACATTTTCCACATTAAAATGAAATCAAACACGACGTAGTTTAGCGCATATTTACTTCTAATAACTTAAAGCAGTAAAATCCTCGAAGTCAAAGGCATAGAAGTCTACGACTTCAACTGTCAAACGTATCACGTGATTTTCCGGATAACACCGAAGGGAAACGAAATTACCCGACGTGTCATTACTCATCCGCTTACCGTCAATCTTACCACAGTAAAATCTGGGTGTAAAAGAAACGCTTCAAACTACGAATAAATATGTCCTGAATTACGTCACATCTAATCTTACTTTAAAAAGAAAAATATCACACATACTTCAATAAGAATTTCATAAAAAACAAATTTCAAACAAAAAAGTATAAAAGTTTTATTCTTGAATTAATATTATGCTGCGAATAAGTTACTGTTTACGTTCGATCATTCGGTGATTTTCGGCAAACTTCGGTCAGTATCGGGATTATAAGTGTAATCGAAAGTTTAGACGCGAAGGAGTCAACTATAATTTATATTTACGCTTTCGTTAGATGCGTACAAACAAAGAAACGTTTATGGCACGCAAACTTACATAATTCGAGGATGCACGACAAAAAATATATTCAGAAGATATTTACCGTTCCTTTTAACGACCAAGAAACTTGATTCTTTCACCCTGTGGCAAGAAGAAAACGAACATATAGCGCGCTATAAATTTAAGTAACGGTGTATCGTTACATGCAAAAGTCAAATAATCGTTTGTTTTTTGACTTTATTACTACAGATGTTTTATTCGTTCTTCCAGTGATGATTAATTATAGCAACAAGGTATCGTGTAAGGTAGGTGATCTCATTATTGCATGTGTAACAATCGGATTGGTTAAAAATAGTATTGTTATATATATGTGTAGAGGTCTTTTGTGAAATGACGATTGTTTTGTTTGGAGACTTGGATATTTGAAAATGTGGGAATTAGAGGATTTGGAAATTGGGGAGTTTTGAACTTCGGGAATTTAAAAATTCAAAAACAGGAAATATGAAAACTTAGAAATTCTAAAAGTTAGGCAATTGAAGACTTGCAAATTTGGAAATTTAGAAATTCAGAAATTTAGGAATTTGCAAATTTAGAAAAATAGAAATTTAGGAATTTGAAAATTTAGAAAAATAGAAATTTAAAAATTCAGAAATTTAGGAATTTGGAAATTTAGAAATTTGAATATTCAATAATTTGGAAATCCAAAAATTTGAAAATTAATAACTTTAGAACTGAGAATTATAACAAATTTCAAAGCTCCAGAAACTTCTATAATACCTTTTTTTCCTTGATGTCTAAGTACTCGCATTTTTCTCATCAATCAATTCAGTACTATGTGAAACCTTATTAAGTTGTAAGTATAAAGAAATCGAGAACAAACGAAAGGTTTTAACGGCGATATAGATAAGTATCTATAACCATAATTTTCGAATGTTAGTTTTAACCCTCGGTGTATAACTAAACTTCCTGCAACTATCGACCGAGCCTATGCACCGGAAGCAGGATATTGCAATATGTATAATTGGCAACACCTGCCAACAAACGCCTTCGAGCCTTACCTTGTAATCTTATTCTATGAAGCGTCTAAGTTATTTGATTCTGCATTCAAATTCTGACGGCTAAAAATAATTAAAGAGAAATTTTAATTGTTCGTTATCTATGAACTCGTGGGAATTATTGCGCCCCGTTAATAAATTTATTATAAGCTATAGAATACGCTGTGGAATATTTTATGAGAGACCTTTATTGTGAACAGTATTTGAAATTTAGAATAAACGTTGGGTTATTTAAACTGTGATTTAATGAAAATTGATTTTTTTAATGATATACGGTAGTTGTAAAAGTTTTACATTAATTTTTATATTGGGAATTGATTTAAAACTGTTTTTAAGAAAATTTACAAATATTTATAAATATTACAAATGATGTTGAATTTTTAAATATTTATAAATATTATAAATATTGTAAAATTCACAAATATTGCAGAATAATGAATATTGTAAATTATATGCATGTATTATAAATATGTTAATTAATTTATTAAATCAAATTATTAAATTAAAAGTATTTAAAAGTATTTAAATGTATTATTAAATTAAAAATATTTAAATATCTTCTTTTAAGATAATTCATTGTTGCATGATTTCTTCTTTTAATACAAAAAGTACATTTTTGAATTTCTGCAAATAAAAATAATAGAAAATCAGCAATAAACAAATATTTTCAACTAAAAAAATTTATTTAAACAGAAATTACATAACATTATAAATTTGAAAATTTTTAAATTTATAACAAAATATTGTAATTACAGAAAAATGAAAATATTTCCAATGATCTCATTAATTCTAAAGTCGTTATGAAACTTATTTACATCTTCAAAACTCTTACAAATAAAAATAACAAAAAAATGTGTTCCATTAAAAAATTTATGCAAAGAAAAATATAATATTTTAGATTTGTAAGATGTAATAAAAAATAGTAATTATAAAAAATAAAAAATGTTTTTTATTACATTAGTAAGCATGATGCCTGCAATTCTTTTGTGTTTAAAAGAATACAATTTCATATTATACTATTTTACAATTTTTGCATAGTTGCAACACAGAATTAATACAAATTATTATAATATCCAATTATATGATATTACAATAGTAATGTATTATATAATATAGTTTTCATTTGTTTCTATGTAAAATTCATTTGTATCAAATTGAAATAGAGAGTATGTTTAGATTTTAACATATTACACTGATTATATATTCTAAATTTTAGGTTATGTCCAACTAGATTATATGTTTACGACATATTGAAATTTGTGACGTCACGCGCATGCGCAAACCGCAATAAAATTTTTCTGTTGATGGACATACACATTAGGTTCACTTATTTATTAGATTATTAGTTCCATTTAGTTTATACGGTTCACTTATTTATTAGGTTATTAAGTTCACTTATTTGCTAGGTTATTAGTGTCATCTATTTATTATGTTAACTATTAAATCCATGACATTCAATCTTCTGCTACAAAATTATTTATCATTATAAAAATTTCTGCTCTAAAAAATCATTTTAAAATTTGTTTCCAATGAAAAACTCTTTCAGATAGTAATTTTATCTTTAATAAATCTAATAATTTATTTTTTTGACATTTAACTATTTTTTTATTGAACAATATTTTCTATATTCAACAAAATTATTTATAATTTGTAATGCAAAATGCTTTCCAAGAAAATTAGTAACAGATCTATACACAATTTCATATGTCCCGCAGAAATTACATTTATGGCATTCAAAGTAATAATATAATTCTTATAAAAAATAATCTTGTAAAAGACATGTATAAAGAATGTATACGAAGATGTATAAAAAATATATATAAAAGAAATTGTATAAGGAATAATTATAAAAATATAAAAATGTGTATAAATTGAATAAAAACTCTAAATAAATGGAAAATAAGTACCATTGAGATCAATAATCCTTTGTTAGATACCTTCTAATAGCTTTCTAATTACCCTACGACGAGATTCAAACAATTTTGAGTCAAAATAAACAAAAATGTCAGGAATTTAATCATTAACCTAATATTCTACCGTTTTTAATTAAAAATTCTCCGTTCCTCTTCCGTAAGAGCACTTTTATCAATAAAACCCCCAACGTTCGTGACATGCCGTTCCAGCAACAGTTTCCTTTCCTCCTTAACCTCCTCCAACCTAACATTTTCCCGCCTTTTTTCTTCCCTAGCAGCGTCCTCCATCTTCTGAATCTCCTGCCATCGAATCCTTCGCCTAGTTTCAATCAATCGATCCAGTTCTTCCCTATACTGTGCCTGCATTCTTCTCCTAGCTTCAGCAGTGAGTTTCGCTACCCTTTCGTCCTCCATCATCTTCCTCATAACCTCTTCAGCGAACAACTTATCCAGTTCCACAAACCGTAACTTGCACCTTTCCGAAAAAAGCATCTGCTCCTCCAAATCAGTCGCCAGTTCCTCCTTCATCCTCTTCCTCCTCACTCTCTCTTCCTCCTCCCTGATCAACAATTCTCTCCTCAAATCCTCCGTCATCAGTTCGTTCATCAGCGCCTCCCTCTCCCGTTTCTGGGTCTCCGTACACGTCAGCGTTTTCGCGACTTCCAGCAAAAATTTCTCCCGTTTTTCCCTTTGCTCCCGACGGAGCACTCTGACCCTCTCCTCGCGTTCGTCCACCTCCCTCAAGTACCGTTCGTCCTCTTCCGCTTTTATCGCCTCCGCCTCCGCGTGCTCCTGTCGACGAATCTCCCTCATTTCCTCCAGTATCAAACGTTCCCGCCTGCTGCTCTCCATCATCTCCATCTTCCTCGACTCTGCCTTTGTCTTTTCACGCTGTTCCTGTATTTCGTCCACCTCGACCAGGATCTCCCGCTCTCTGCGGGCCTCCCGCATCATCCACTCTTTTTCCTCTTGCTTTCTTCTCATCTGCTCGCTCAGCTCCGTTCGGTACTCCTCGGATTTCTTCCGGGTCGCGACCCGCTGTTGAAGATCCTCTTCCAGGACCGCCTGTTGCTCCAGCAACATCAGCTTCGAGGCCGCCTGTTTGCGTACGTGTTCGATGTAGCGCTCCGTGCGCCGCTCTAAAAGCTGCGTCTCGAGCTCCTTCGCGATGTAAGCTCGTCGCAGCTTCGCCTCGAGATCGCTGATCTCGTCGTACGATTCTCGATTCCGGTTGCTTCGTCTTAGCCTGCCGATGAAATCGCTCGTCGTTTCGACGGTGTCCTGGTGAGACGCCGATTCTTCCATCCTTCCAGCCGGATTTTTCAATGATGTCGCTAATGTGCCTGGCTGGAGCCTTGAAAAGGTACACGCAAAGAATTTCTGTTACTTTTCAGTGAATCGGTGAACGTCGTTTCGGTTTAACGACTCTGGATTTTTGATTTGGTGACAACGATGATGGTCACAGGTATGCACGCTGTTAATTGTGAGGTGGGTAATGTGGTTCTTTTGTATGTGATAATTGAGGGGGGCAAATTTAAGTGATGGGACGAATATTGTGATGTACGGAGATATGGGAGGATGTTTGAGATTGGAATCACTGATTTTGTTGAAATTTTTTACAATTGTGGAGGACATTGTGTGGAATGATTTTGTGAAATTGTAGAGCGCAACTCTTTGAAATAAGAGAGAGACTTATGTTCAATTTTTTGGTAATTTGTATTTAATTGTTCAACAAATGTTATATATAATATAACTTTGCAAAAGTTATTTACAATCTATCTTTGCGGATTACTAATTTTCGAATTTACAAATCTCTAGTTACTCAAGTACTAAAAATTCTAAAATTTACAAATTCTAAAATTCTAAAATTTTCAAATCGTAAAATTTATAAATTTCCAAGTTTCTAAGCTTTCAAATTTTCGAAGTTCCAAATATCTAAATTGAAATATTCAAAAAATGTTAAACTTGTATATCTCATATTTGCAAATTTCAAGAACACAATTTCCAATTTTCTAAATTGCAAAATTTCAATTGTCACAATTAAAAAATTTTTAAATTCTGAAATCTAAGTTACACAATTTAATTGTCACAATTAAAAAATTTCTAAATTCTGAAATCTAAGTTACACAATTTCGAATTTTCAAATTACTTAAATTTCCAAATTTAAAAATTTCAATTTTCATTCAAATTAAAAATTTTCAAACTTACAAAATTTCTAATCTTTACAAAAATCTAAATTTTCAAGTGACCCATTAAAACTAAAAAATACGATTAAAATGATTTAAAACGAGACACTACTTGAATCCAGAGTTACATAAAATTTACCTGTTACAGATAAACACTAACATGCGTTAATTACTGTGATTTAAGGATTAACAGTTGGCTCGCGTGTTCAAACTTGGGCTGATCCAAATTGCCGTGCGAAAATTCTCAAAACGTAATCAAGTCCCGTAAGGAAAAACCAATTGGACGTACCGTTAATCCAATAATTATTTTAACCTCCAGAGCAATGTTAACCGTTCTACTAATTAACCAACGCGAAATACAGCTGCTACTTTTATTTCTTTCTACTGGGTGTCCTAACTTGACCATCTTTCATATCTTGTTTGTTTCTTATAACATAAGAAAATGTCAGATGAAAACAATTTGTTCAAACGTACAAATATTATGGTGTTTAAGACATTTTTCTCAAGGTCATTTTTCCCGAGATTTCACGATCATTAAAGTTTTTAAATGGGATAATATATTTTCATCAGCATGGCATAACTGAGGTAAAGACGAATTCAATGACCTGTAATACTATGACTTTCGCGACCTTGAAATACAAGGAATACATAAAAGCTAGATAACTGAGTACAAAGTAAAATAAATTATAAAAAGATTAACGGAGGAAATCCGTGGTAGTGCAGGTATTTGATGGCCTGCACGTTCACCAGATCTAACACCTTCAGATTTTTTTTGGGGTGCGATTAAATCGATAGTTTATAACGACATTCCAACAACGCTGGAAAACAGGAAAGAACGTATTAGAACTGCATGCGTTAATATCAATGAACAAGCTATAAAAATCGCCAAAGACTCGTTCATTAGTCGTTTAGAAAGTAGCGAGACTGCCAGACATCATTTTGAGCACTTATTACAATAAAATTTCCTCCGTTGATCTTTCTATCAGTTATTTCACTTTGTCCATCAGTTATCTAGTTTTTATGTATTTTTTCTACTTCAAGGTCACGCGAAGGTCATAGTCTCATAGGTCGTTGAATTCTTGATCTCAGTTATCGAACCACACTGATAAAAATATATTATCCCATTTAAAAACTTTAATGATCTTGAAATTTCAGAAAAATGACCTTGAGAAAAATTTCTTAATTACTATAACATTTGCACGTTTGAACAAAATAATGTTTTCCTCTAATATTTTATTCTATTATAAAAAATAAGCAAGATATTCGAGATGATAAAGTCAGGTAAGACACCCAGTATATCAGATTAATTAATGGGTTGGCCAGATGCTATATCAATTTAGTCTAACACGAAGAATGTCGAAGAAGAATAACAAATAAGAACTAACGATTTCCATGAAACATGTACTTAAATCAGAGAACAAATAAAGCATTGCACAAGAAGCTCTGTAAATTGCTTCCTAGACTGCTGAACGATTAACAACTCTACTTAACGTTCGCTTGTTCTGTCAAGTGAGAAGTTTTCTGAGTTGTGGATTCTTTGAGCATTTCAGAAGTTTTGAATTTTAAATTGTACCATTTTTTCAATTTTGCAGTTTTAAAATTTTTAAGGTGAGGATTTTGAATTTTGAGAAATTTAGAATTTGTAATTGTAGAACTTTTTAATTTAAACTCTAAACTCTAAACATTTGTACAAAATTGTATACTTTATTTGCCTAATTAATACAAAATTATTAGTACACACAAACTTATTCACTATACTATATACACCAATAACTCCAATTTCCTACCATATTTTACTGTTTTCACGTGTTATTATTTATACTTCATAATTAAATATTATTGTTCAAAATAATTATTTATTTCAACCTTATTTTATCCTTTCATCATTTTCTTTAAATATAAAATACAAACTTTCTAAATAAATCAGATTATTTAAAATGGAGTCATAACTCAGTATGTCATTGTATAACTTACCCTATTTACTAATATTGCAAATATTTACATAAATATTCTAAGTACTTATAAGGAATGAATTTAGAACGTGTACTACCAGAAACATGTAGTTTCACACCTAATTCAGTAAAACTGCACACAAATTTGAATTTAAACGAACGTTTTTCCTAGCAAATATGTACAACAATCGCATAACCTACAAATTTAATGTTGCGTATCAGACTCACATATACCACCATTAATGTTACCTTATAATGTCGAATTAAAATGATTCATAAATTTAGATTAGATGAAATTATCTGCACTGTTAAAGAGATGCATATCTTGAATATATACATATACAATTACAATGGTTGTACTCAAGAGATCTCTTCTTGAAAATATGCGACAGACGCGACTTTGATTAGTTTCAAAATATTATTGATACCTGTATTGATAAGCTACAATATACGACAAACTTGTGGGTAACGTGTTAACGCATAAATCTCGTTTCTAGAATAAAAGGCGGGTGCGGATGTGAGGTTATGTTAAGTGTTGTAAATTTCGGGCCTCTGTTAGTGGTTGGAAAACCTCGACTGTGATTTAAGCGACGTTATACTCGGTAGCTGCTAGATTTTCTGTATTTAGGACTGTAAATAAAAAAGGCCGACGAAATATTAAATAATTGTATTTTCTTATATAATATAGCGTTTGACTTATGTTTAAGTACTCAATTTTTACTTTTAAATAAGTCCATCATTGTTAAAAAATAATATTGTAACATTACTATAAAAATATCTGTTCCAACGGTTAAAGTTATAAAATATGGAAGCTTTCGTTTGGGCATAATTGACCACGCACTACGATTCAATTCATATAACGGTTCGTAAAGTGTTACTTTGATTCCTATTTTATAAATACACTTAATATTATTAGGTTCCCAGCTATTATGCTCTTACTAATGTCTGGTAGCAAATGTATCCATTATCGAATAACTGAATACATTTATGGCAATTGCACTTTTATTGTAGTATGCTTATGTACACGTGCAGTATGAAATTCCTCAGCGGCCTTTATAACACATGTTTGGAATCTGGGGGGTATAGAGAGGAATAAGGCAACATGGCCATTTAGAGGGTTCAATGACATAAAGTATTTTTCGCAATATTGAAGATTTTAGAATTTACGGATTTAAGAAGTTGGAAAGTTAAGAATTTGCAAACTTTGGAACATGGAAACTTGAGAATTTGAGATTTTGAGAATTTACAAATTTTGGAATGTGGAAATTTTAGTATTTGGAGATTTGGAAAATTTCAAATTTGAGAATTTGGACATTTAAAAATTTGAATAATTGAGTATTTGGAAATTTAGGAAATATCAAATTTGAGAATTTGTAAACTTGAGTGTTTGAAAATATGAGAATTTGGTGTTTACCAATTTAGACATTCAAGAAATTAAAAATTTAAATATTAAAAAATATGGAATTTTGTAAATTTTAAAATCTTAAAACAATCGTCTTGAAAAAAAATATGTCACCCAGAACTACAATATCAATTTCAATCTAACAACCTAACCTACAAAAATTATTGTCGCAACGCCATCTTAATTCAATAATTTCTTTACACACTTTCCTTTCTGTATGCATAAATTTTCGTATCATTTTTAACCTCAAAAATCAGTATCTAATAACCTTCAAAATTACTTTGCACACTTCCACAAGAATAAAACACTTCTTCCACTGTCCACTGCACTAAACTATCACATCCTGTAAGAATCATTCCTCACTTTTAATTGTTGACGCTTACTATCATCGTTATAGTTAAGTATAGAATTATTGACATAACGCTGCATATCGTAGAGCTTCCACACGTAGAAAATCATTCTAGAGCCTCGTAAACGGTAAATATCCCGCTATAATTAGCAATTGGACTTGATTCATGACTGACATACAGTCTTGAAAGCGTAAAAGATAACACGATCCAGAGTTACGTTACACTTGCGTTGAATTTATGCATTTCGAACAGCCCGAGCAATATAATTCAATAAAACGAAAATCGTTTATAGTTGCGCGACTTGGTAATCGGTTTACCTGACGATTAATCTTCTACTGTGATTTTGATCGGTCCCACGGGCGGGCAACCTATAATTTACATTCGTATTGCGAGCATGGAAACCGGAACTTTAAATTTCTTGTTGGATGTGTTCGCGTGAAACGTCGGCTAAATTCATACGCCGGTGATGTCTAAATAAAGATACGTATTATTTGTGTTGCAACGTAATTTTCTTGTATCGCCACAGCATAGTTTTTATTTTCAACTAGCAATGCAGCGTGATTTTCTTCCTATATTCCAATGTAAATTTCTTCTTTAACTTGTTGGATCAAAATACACTTCTGCAAGTAGTATCTGCACAGCATAATTTTCTTCTTTCACTTTTTTTCTTTCGCAAGTTGCATCACCACAATTTTTTTCTGTAATTTGTATCGTTCCAACATAATTTCTATTTAGAGTTTGTAAAATAGTGTAATTTTCTTCTATAATATGATGGATTAAAATATTTTCTTCTGCAAATAGTGTCTGCGCAGTGTAATTTTTTTTTTCACTTTTTATCTTCTGTTAATTGCATCTCTACAATTTTCTATTTTAATTTGTATCATTGCAACATAATTTCTATTTATAATTTGTAAACTAGTGTAATTTTTTTTTAAGTTATACTATCATGATCTAAATTTCTTCTTTAACATGATAGATTAAAATAGTTTCTTCTAGAAGTAGTGTCTGTGTAGCATAATTTTCTTTTTTCCCTTTACATCTTCTGCAAGTTGCATCTTCACAATTTTATTCTTTAATTTGTATCGTCACAACATAACTTTTATTTAAAGCTTGTCATATAACATGTATTCTTCTTCAAGTTATATCACCACAATATAAATTTCTTCTTTAATTTGTTTCAAAATATCTATTTCTGCAAACAGTATCTGCACAACATAATTTTCTTCTGCAAATTGTATTCCCACAATGTAATTTTCTACTTTCACTTTTTTTCTTCCATAAGATACATTTTCATAATCTTCTTCTTCATCTTGTATCATTATAGTGTGAGTTTCTTCTTTAATTTCTTTCTTCACATAAGCTACATTTTCACACAGTTATTTTCTTCTTTAGCTTATTATTGTCCATAAGTTGCATTTTCACAACGTAATTTTCTTCTTTGACATGTCGCATCATAATAAAATGTTTTCTGCAATTTGTATAATCACAATACAATTTTCTTTTTTAACTAGTATTACTACAATATAACTTTCCTCTTTAATTTGCAGCATCACAGAGTAATTTTTTTTGTTAAATTATTTCATCACAATATAGTTTTCTTCTTCAACTTGGTGGATCAAAATGTTATTTCCTTCCATAAGTAGCATTTTCACAACATAATCTTCTTTTTTACTTATAGTAGTACAATATAATTTCCTTCTTTCTCTTGTATCATCACAATGTAATTTTCTTCTTTAATTTATAGCATCACAATATAATTCTCTTCTTCAAGTTATATCTTCACAGTCTGATTTTCTCCTTCAGCTTATAGCATCACAATACACTTTCCTTATTCAACTAATACCACCACAATATAGTTTTCTTCTTTAACTTATAGCATTATGATGCAATTTTCTTTTTTGACTCATATCATCACAAAATAATTTTTTTTTTAAGTTACACCTGTGAAATATAATTTTCTCCTTCAATCCAGCATTGCAAAATAATTTTCTTCATTAATTTGTAGCATCACAATATAATTTTCTTCTTCAATTAATATCATCATAACAATTTTATTCTTCATTTTACACCAAAACAAATTACAAATTTTTTAATTCTTAAATTCTTAAATTTTTAAATGAATTAATTTCCCAAATATTTTTCAAATTTATGAAATTCAAAATCTATTATTTAACAAATTTCTCAATTAAAATATGCATTAATTAAAAATTAACGAGTATCTACATCTTTTCCCCTAAATCATCATTTTCGCTAGAAAATCACTAATAAGTACTGCATAATCAATCTTAAAATCACATCTATTTTGTAAAAACCAATAAAAATAAAAATCATTCTCGATAAAAAATATTTAATTAATTTTATTCTATTTGAAATTTTTAAATTTTAAAATTGCCTATTATTTCAAGCGTTTTATTAATAATAAAATGTGCAGCGTAAGGTTAGGTTAGGCGTGATACACTATACAAAATTCATTTTTTTGCAATTTAATTGCGTCATTCAATCATCTCGCTGGAAGCAATAATCGTTTTTCAAATGCAATTTACTTGCTCTTAATGGCACACGATCGTGCGGTATGTGTAAAATACTGGCGTACGGTTTATTCATAATTCCGTTTAGGGAAATTAAATCTTCACCATCGTGGTCAGCCATGCACACCTAAATAATGTATATTATAACCGAGCTACTCTGCGTTTTATTGCTATATATGTTAAAATTGTTTAAATTATGCTTCGTGTTTGACTTCCTTTAGACCATGGTGCATGCATTTGAATTCCATAAATTATGTTTACTTTCTTCCGTGAATACGTAGCGTAGGTTCCACCAAGTTAATTTCTTTGTAGATACAGTTTTTAGAGCATGCCAAATATTTTATATTTTAATATTAAACACAGTACCGAGCCGAGGACTGCAAAGAGCATAAACATTTCATAAATTTTTATACGCTTATATATAATGACTTTTTGGAAATCTGGGATTTTTGTATTTTGGGATTTGAAGATTTTTAAGCTTTGAGATTTTGAGATTTTTAAACTTTGGGATTTTGACATTTTTTAGCACTATACATGTACACATGATTAGAGATTAAAAATAAAATAGAAAAATAAATAAACAAATGATAATTAACATAAGTAATTCTTTCATCAAATTTCACGAAAAATGTCTTAATAAATTTTAGAATTGAAAAAAGAAAGCTTGTGAATGGCTTTTACCTTTTATATATTTAATGGCAGCGAAAATAATTTAGATGTTCAACTCAAACGTAATACCCTGTATATAACTTATATTACAGTAATATCAATATATTAATTTAATAATATAATAATACTACCAATATACACAATTTATATAACTTATATTCTATTTTGATCGCTCATTTTTTTATTTTTAATAGCAGTTAAGAGAATTCATCAATTTAAGTAGAATACTCTGAAATAAGGTTTCTCTATTTTAAAATGAACTGTTTTTAATTTCCTCTGTTTTAAAATTAATAACCACAATTTATAATCAACAATTATTTCATAATTATAATTTTTCCTTTAAACTCCTACAAAATACTGTAAACTTGTAACATTTATCTAAGCGCCAAATTAACTGAAGTATATTTTCATTATATTTCATGAAACGATAGAAAAACATGAATACACGTTTCTTATGTAACAATCAATTAAATATAAAAAATGAAAAAAAATGTTAATTGAAAAAAATTTTTAATTATTTTTGGGAGCTCAAAAATATTCTTAAAAAAACCGCGCAATAAAGGGTGACCAATCACGCAACAAAGAGTAAATATAAATTACACTAGATTTATGAAAGCCGTTGTAATTACGAATTTCAGTTCTTATTTTAAATTACGAAAATTATTAAGAAGACTTCAATTAAAATGTATATTAACCGTCAACAAGATAATCATCGTATAACCAATTCATGTATTATCTACTATTTACTTATTTTTACAAATTATGTTCAAACACGTTTCAAATCAGAATACAGACGCTTCAATTTAAACGTCTGAAAATCTAGGGTTAAAATTGTTTAAAAAAATACACGCCTAAAATCGTTCGAAATCAGAAATAGCACGAACACTTTCACGACCTACCGTACATTCTCGAAAATCGAAAAGTGTAAAAACTGTGTCGCTCATTTGCAATCAAATCAGCGTCAAATAGAGCGGTAAAGATGCGCGATAATCGCGCAACATAGATTAATGGCGTGCGCCTGCGCCCTGTTCCGATTAGAATAAACAAAACATGAACGTACCGTTTGCAACACGAACTTGAAGTCGAAAACAATTGCTATAAATCCCTGCTGCTCGCACACCGAATACAAAATTCACTTCAAAAAAACGTTTTTTCGTGTTTGGACACCACAATTTATTTCCGTCGTTCGAGTACGGACACAATTCGTTCGTTTCGTTAAAAAATATAAAAGACACAAATTGCAACGATTTTCACAAAAAATTACGAACAAATCAGAACTAAAAATTCCGGAGAATTTTCATCGAGGCGGATAGAAAACGCGAAATTCGAAGAGCGATTTAGCAAATGCGACCGGTACGAAGGATCGAGACCGACTAACCGGCTTTCCGCGTCAGGGCACACGCGAGCCGAAGCCGAGCCGCGCGGCCTCTTTAAGGCCCCCGAGAAGCGACGGGCCTACTGTGAACCAACTTTCGGGATCTGATGCCGCAAAATTCAAAAAACGATCCTCCCTTGCTCCACGTTGGAGAGACAAGGTTACATTGTTCTTACGTTCAGACAACAAACTGAACCTTCATATTGCCCCTTGCATAGAAAGAGTTCCGAGGGTGCTTCGAAAAATATCCATGCAATCTTTCCGCAAGAAAAGTTCGCCAAGCTCATTCTGCATGATGCTTTATTCTCCGGAGATCTTTTACTCGATCTACAAAGTAACTTATTTTCTTCTGCTTATAGTCCTGCTGTGGCAGATAGCCATAACAACAAGTTTATGACGGTTATATGTACTGCAACTTTCGAACAATAAAGCATCTTCTAGAGCGACGGATTAATTTTGAATCGACTTTGACGGCCTCATGCGGCGGAATACGAGAAACTCCGTCGATCCCCCTCTCTTTAGCGTTGCTCCACGGTGGGGGGACAAGTACAGCAGCAATTTCGCCGACGCAAGATTTTCAAGCAACGAAGCAACATTTTCTCGTACTTTCCTTTTCAAAATATTTTTCGTATAATTACGTGGCTCTGGTGCCCGATTTTGCGATTCGACTCTTAAAATTTTATTAAAAACGAAAATATATTTTTATAACATTTTGATAGCCAAATTGCAAAATCGAGCTCCATGACAGCCGCGTAATTACGTGAAGAATACTTTGGAGAAGAAAGCGCGAGAAAATATCGCATCTTCGCTTGAAAATCGTGCGTCGGCGAAATTGTTGCTGTCCTCTTCTCTCACCGGAGAGACGAGGAACGGAGCTTTTCAGTTCCGCCACCAGATGTCCCCAATTCGGTATGCTAGATTCTTAAACCCATCCCTCTGATAGGCTCCTACGAACCCACCAGGTAAGTTCCTACGACCCAGGTAAGTTCCTCGAACGTGGAGGCGTATAATCGCGGTTGCGATACTCGCGATATCCGTTACAAATGAAATTCTTTGCTTCTCGACGACGAGACGTTGCAGACTTTCATCCTGTCCGAGAGCAACATTCTTTTTATTGCGTTATTAAGCGCGGGAGAGTGGTACACGCTGAGATAAAATTAAAAGTAGCTTCTCGGACAGATTTTTTTTGTGGATTAATTTTAGAGGCGGTTTTAGAAACATTTTTGATGGGCTATTTTGCTGTAGGTACTTCGTTAATATAATTTTTTTAGTGCAGCGGTTATTTTCAATTAGTGCGTATCTCAAGTAGTATACTCGAGTACAACGCAGACTTATTTTGCAGTGGTGCATGGAAGTAAAATTGGACACTTTGTGAGTGCAAAATTTTATTGGTATAATTTTTTTATTATACAGTTATTGAGTTTTGGAAGGTTTTATTTGTAAATTTTCAAGTTTTGTGGATCTACGGATCTTTGTATTTCTAGATATTTTATTTTCTGTTCTTAAATTTCGTAGGTTAGGTTATCAAATTGTTTTAGTTTTCTAAATATTTTAAATTTTAGATTAAATTATAAAATTATTAGTTTATCCATTGGCCTAAGTTTCTCCAATTACGGAATTACAAAATTCTCAAATTCCCAGTCTCAAATATCAAAATTCCCCAATTCCTCAATTTTCAATTTCCAAATTACTAAATTTCCAAAATTCTAAAACTCTCGAACTCCTAAATTTCCAATTTCGAAATTCCAAAATTCCAAAATTCCAAAATTTCCAAATACTCAAACTCCCCAACTTTCAATTTCTAAATTACTAAATTTCCAAATTCCCAATCTAAAAAATTCCCAAATTCCAAAATTCCAAAATTTCCAATTCCCCATTTTAAAAATTCCCAATTTAAAAAATTCCCAAATTCCAAAATTTCAAAATTCCAAAATTCCAAAATTCCAAAATTCCAAAATTCCAAAATTTCAAACTTCCAAAATTCCTAAATTTCCAAATTCCCAAATTTCCCCATTTCCAAATTACTACATTTCCAAAATTCCTAAACTCTCAAACTCCTAAATTTCCAATTTCGAAATTCCAAAATTCCAAAATTCCAGAATTCCAAAATTTCCAAATTCTCAAACTCCCCAATTTTCAATTTCTAAATTACTAAATTTCCAAATTCCCAATTTAAAAAATTCCAAAATTCCAAAATTCCAAATTCCAAAATCCCAAATTCCAAAATTCTGAAATTTCAAAATTTCAAAATTCCAAAATTCCAAAATCCCTAAATTTTCAAATTCCCCAATTTCCAATTTCAAAATTCCAAATTTTCAACTTCTCAATTTTCCAAATTTCTAATTTTTTGTACATTCAAATTTATAAATTTCAAAATTCTAAATTTTAAATTTTCCAATTTCCATTTTTCCAAATATCCAAATTAAAAAATTTGGGAATTTCCAATTTTAAATTTATAAATTCACAAATTTGATAAATTTTATCGTTTTCAAGTTTTGTAAATTTACTCTACCATTTAATTTAATAAATAAAATGATTAGAAGTTAAATTGAAATTGTGTTGGATATTTTTAAATTATAAATATTAAAAATCTCCATCATCGACATGAATGTCATCTAATAATTTTTTACTACATTTATATTTGATATTAATATTCATCTATATATTCAATCGCATTTTGTTAGGACACCTTGTATATTATTTTCAGTAAAAAGCGTCAGATCGAACTCCTCAAGGTATCAGAAATGAATAATTATAAGGACGCCCTAAAAATGTTGAGGAGGTATGAAAAATATGCACATATGTATAAGTCAGCATACATAAGGTATCCCATGGCACGACTTTTTTAGAACTTCAGAAATTCATGTATGTAGAGTTTCAGAAATTCATTTGGTGCTTGAAAATAATGAAAAAAGTTCTGATAAACGTATATTTTATTTGACCTACTTTACGAAATATAGTGATTTCGTGTTGTGTGTTGTATCATTTAGTGCCTGATTACTTTTACGTCAAATAAATGCAGTAACTTGCATTCGTTGTTAAATGGCCGATTTCTAAGTGCATATAAAATTTGCTATAATTTTACAACGCAAAGTTGTGTTGAAATAAATGTTGTTTTATGTGTAAGTAACATATGTTTAATAAATAAGAAATATTTATACAGTTTTATGATAGAGAAATATATGTACAGTTTTATATTAAATATATATTTAATTTTGTATATAATAAATATTATATATGTATTCAATTTTGTATTTAATATGCATAAGATATCTTACCGTTTTATATTTTCATATTCAATAGGTACGTTATACAATATAGGGTGTCCCAAACCTTATAAACATATTTTTATGTATGGGATATTTTGTTAATGTTTTACTGTAAGAAACTGGAATTATACACAGTATGTTCATATATGTAACGTTCATATATGTAGCGGTCATATATATGACGTTCATACATAGGTAGCGGTCATTTATGTAGCGTTCATGCAGTCTGTATACTTTCATAGCAACGGTACCTAATCTAAAATATAATCTATTGCAACCTAATATAAAATGTTGTCAGTAATAAAAATGATAGATATCTTATTTTAAATTTTGGAATTTAGTAAAAGAAATACTGTTTTGAAAATTATAAAAAGAATTATAATAAAAAAACTTTATAATAAAAAGAGAAAGACATTTGCAACAAATAAGTATACTGTTTGAACCACGGTATAGTAGAATAGTAACGAACCTTATTAGCTTAAACAGGTTTCACTTTAATTTTCTTTGTCATTATTTTAATAGTCACACAAAATACATTCACGTTGTATTTTCACATAAATTCAGAACATATACCTAATATATTTTTCTGTTGAAAAAATAAAACCAATTTCTTAGTTGACAACGTAAGAATTTTACGACGTTACGTGTTGCTACGAAGTGTAATAGGCAACGAGGTAAAATTCAGTGACGATATTACTGCCATCTAGCGGTTAGAATGTTCGCAACGTTATGAAAGCTTCATAACAGAAAGATGAGATTAGATGCGTCTATTTAAAATACGTGTTTAAAGGTTTGCAGATTTGTAGCAATATAGTTATTGTTGCAGGAATTTTGGAAATTGAGAATTTGGAAATTTTGAATGTTGAAAATTTAGAGATTTGGAATTCAAAGAATTTTGGAATTTGGGAATTTGGAAATTTGGGAATTTGCGAATTTGCGAATTTGGGAATTTGGGAATTTGGAAATTTGAGAAATTCGATAATTTAGTAATTTGATAATTTGGAAATTTGGAAATTTGGGAATTTGGGAATTTGGGAATTTCGAAATTTGGAAATTTGAGATTTTAGAAATTTGAAAAATTGGAAATTTGAGAATTTGGAAATTTGAGAATTTGGAAATTTGAGAATTTGGGAATTTGGGAATTTGGGAATTTGGGAATTTGGGAATTTCGGAAATTTGGGAATTCGGAAATTTGGGAATTCGGAAATTTGGAAGTTTCAGAGTTTGAAAATTAAAAAATTTGAAAATTTAAAAACTTACGCGTCGAGAATTTAGGATTTTGAAAATTTGGAAAATTTGGAAATTTAATTACTTAAAAACTTGAAAATTTAGTACCTTAAAAATTCGCAGATTTAGGAATTTGAAAATCAGGAAATTTATTAATTTCATAATTTAAAAAATTGAACATTTCGCAATTTAGAATATCGATAATTTGATAATTCAAAAATTCACGAAATCGGTAATTTGTTTCCTTTTTATTATTATTAGGAAAAACGCATATTATTAAAAAATTTAAATAACCGAAAATTTATATACGAACTTTTTTCTGAATAATACACAATTTGGCCTTAATCCTACATTTAATCTTTTCTTTTTCTTCACCATGTATCGTTAACTTCCGTTATCAAAATGATGTATTCTTTAGAAATTCTATAGTCTTCTGAACACCTGGATGAGGTTTCTTTGTTGTATTGGAGGATTCTCCAGAGGAACAGGTGCGTCGAACAATTCTATAAGACGACGATATAAACGTAATAGCTATTGTTAATCTTTTCATATGCAACTTTCTTATCCGGTCGTGCCTGATTTTATTGTGGAAGGATGTACTTGCACATTATTTATTGATTAATAATATTGTTCAACAAATTTTAACTTCTTCAGTATTTTTTAATAATATAATATT